ACGCGCAAACTTGTGTCTTCTGGGGATTGAACTGTACTAGATTTAGTCGCCCCCAATCCGAGACTTTGTTCAGCAAAGACTCGACTTCAGACACAATTTTGGCCCGGTACTCGGCGAAGTTTTCCCGAGAAATATTGGCACGGCCGGTATATAAGGCATCACCAGTGCTGTCGTCCGCATAGCAATAAATGCTACCAGTTAGCAAAATATCATCAACGCTGTTTCTCCTGCATATCATGCAGGAGAAACAGCGTTGGTGATAGCACGCAGCCTTGTGGAACACCAGCGTTGATAGGCTTGAAATCAGAGCATGCACCCTCTACTACGACCTTGATGCTCCGATCAGCTAGAAAGCTGGTGGTCCATTTGCACAATTTCTCGGGAAACCCATAGGAAGGAAGCTTCGAAAGAAGCGCTTTGTGCCAGACCCGATGGAAGGCCTTCGCTATGTCCAAACTAACGGCCAATGCCTCCCCCTTGGACTCTACTGCCTCCGCCCATCTATGAGTCAGGTAGACCAGAAGATCACCAGCTGATCGACCCCGACGAAAACCGTACTGGCGGTCACTAATCAGCTGGTGATCCTCAAGGTACCTCATGAGCTGGGAGTTTATAATGGATTCCATTATTTTGGAGAACAAGGAGGTTATAGAGATAGGCCTGTAGTTGGACGGGTCTGAGCGGTCGCCTTTTTTAGGGATCGGGTGGACCGAAGCTGTCTTCCATGAATTCGGTACTACGCCTTGGGAGTAGGAGTACCGGAAAAGACGCGTTAAAACCGGTGCCAACTCCAGAGCACATCCTCAGCACAATGAGAGGGACTCCATCTGGCCCACTCGGCTTGCTGACGTCCAGGGAGAAGAGTGCTTTACGAACCGAGCGCTGTGTAAATCGCACATCCGGCATGGAGTACTCACACCGCGGATTGGTCGGCAGTGTATTCCCCTCGTCATCTAGAGTAGAGTTGAACGCAAAGAGAGAGCTTAAAAGATCGGCTTTCTCCTTTGCGGCATGGGCCAGAGAGCCGTCTTCTCTGTGCAGAGATGGAAGAGATGGCTGACAGAAGTTCCCTTGGACAGCCTTGGCGAGAGACCAGAATGCACGGGTTCCTGAAGGAAGGCGAACTAGCTTCTCGCCAATTCTGACGATGTGCTCAGACCTTGCCTTGGCAATGACGCTTTTGAAGGACCTGGAGGCGGAATTATACTTCTTTTTAAGTGCGCTGGTATTTACATCCCGAGACGTTGATGCATCAGCCTAGGCCCGGTAGCACTCCTGCTTATAGTGTGATGCTATTTTACTGGAGCGACCAAACCATGGCTGGGATCTGCCTCCGATGGGCACCACAGAGGATGGAATAAAAAGTTCCATACCCTGAAGTACCACATCAGCAACAGAATCGGCAACAACACTGGGATCATCCGGCAAGACGCAAACCCGCCCCCAAGGGTAGAATGCAAAAAACGACCGAATCCCGTCCCAATCGGCTGACCTATAGTGCCAAACACGGCGGCAAGCTGCAGATCGCAACTGCGATTGGAGCGTGAGTGGCACTGCACTCCGGATCAGACAATGGTCCGAAGAGCCCAAAGGGGCATCGACGGAGACCTGATATCCGTTCGGATGAGAGGTCAGCAGAAGGTCCAACAGGGAAGGTACTAAGGTCTTCCACATCTGGGATCCGCGTAGGCGAAGTAACCAGCTGTGTTAGACCATATGCCAAGGCAAAGTCATAAACAGATCTACCCGCATGATCGGTTAAACGGGAACCAAGCCATTCAGCGTGGTGGGCGTTAAAATCACCGAGTATCAAGATCTCTGTGGATGAGACCTGTTGTAGCACGGAGTCTGCAGCCATTTGGACGTGGTCGATGAGTCGGTCTGTGTCGGCATTACCGCTATGGGACCTATAGAGGCACACGTAGACGCGGGGATGGTCGTCGCTGTCTACGCGCAGCCATAGTATAGACAGGTCCGTACCTTCAGGACTGCCGAGGCGTCAAAAACAGATGTCCTCTCTGACGTATACGCAAACCCCATCCCGAGGCATAAAGGAGTGATCTAATTTGTACCCCGGGTAGGAGAGATATGAACTATCAGCCGGAGAGGACACCTGAGTCTCGGTTAAAAAGAGCAAGACCGGTTTCGCCGTCTCCAGATGGTAATGGACAGCGTTAAGGTTGGAATGAAGTCCCCTGATGTTGCAAAAATGGGGGGAATTGGGCATCCGGACACCTGCATTCACCAAGCGCAACGCAGAGGTACACCTCTACTTAACGCTGAAGGGACTGCAGCGCCGCCTAAATTTCGACGGAATCAAACGCTTTCTCATAGTCCACATACGCCAGACATAGTGGCAAATTGTACTCCTCGGTCTTCTGTACAATTTGCCGAAGGGTATGTATGTGGTCTATGGTGCTAAAGCCTTTTCGGAAACCGGCTTGTTCGAGACGCTGGAAGTCGTAGTCTGCGCGCGAGACGATTCATTATGACTCTCTAAAACAGCACGTAGACGCGGCTCAGAAGGGAAGTCGGTCTGTAGTTCTTCAAGAGAGCGTTGTCACCTTTCTTGAAGAACAAGACCACCGCAGTTCTGCTCCACGCCTCCGGTGTAATGCCACCAGGAAGGACGGAATTTAAGAGCTTCTGAAGGACTTCAAGTACCGGTTTTCCACCCGCTTTCAGAAGCTCCGCTGTAATTCCATCCTCGCCCGGGGACTGGCCGTTTCTAAAGTGCTGGAGAGCCATTCTAATCTCGCTGAGACTGACGTCCGGGACGACATCGGAATAGTGTCGTATAAGACTCGCTCTTGGATCGTTACTCACACTTACGTGTGCCTTCAACGATGATGTGTACAGCTGCCCATAGAACCTCTCAATCTTACTCAAAATCTCAGATGTCCCGGAAACGACGCTGCCACACTCGGTCTTCAGCTTCGACAGTTGGCTCTTTCTGACAGACAGATCTCTAGCAAAGACTTTGGAGCCATGGTTACGCTCGATCGCTTCTTCAATACGAGCGGTATTAAAGTCGCGTAAGTCCCGCCGCATGCATTTGGAGATTTGTCTGTTCAGTTGCCTGTATGCTGGAAAATCTACTGAAGACTGCAGTTTCATATCCCGTCTAACAGCCATGAGATAAAGAGTGTGATCGGAGAGTTTTTGTGTTCTTCTGCGGCGGGTTGTGCAAAACTTAGCTCCGACCGCATGGACAGTTTCCACGAGCTTGTCATTCATATCGTCCACTGCATTGCTATCTTCTAGGCACTGAAAACGGTTTCGTAGCTCGAGCTGAAAGGTTTCGGGACTTTGGATTAGAGCACGAGAGGGACGGAGCGTTGACTTCATTAGACGCGACCTCTCCAACTTAACGTTTAGGTTCAATGTGCCTCTCACGATTCGGTGACCGCTGCCGGTTTTCACCCTCGCGATCACTGAGACATCACTGAACAGTTGTCGTCTGGTCGTCATAATGAAGTCAATCTCATTTTTTGTCGAACCGTCGGGGCTCGACCAGGTCCACTTCCTGTGGGGCCGCTTCTGGAAGAAAGAGTTCATCATAAAGAGTCCCTCTTTCTCCATGTAGTCGGCCAACTGCTGGCCCCTTCGGTTCCGTTGCCCTATTCCGAATTTTCCTACTTTCAGTTTTGCATTGAAGTCTCCCATTAACACCGTATAGTGGGTTTTGGAGGAATGCATGGCTCTAGAGATATCCTCATACATTTCCTCCACCTCCTCATCAGGGTAAGCCGAGGTTGGTGCGTAAACCTGTATGACCTTCAGCGAATACAGTTTGGTGATTCTGAGTATAAGGTACGCAACCCTCGTCGACACACTCCCAATCTTTACAACGTTCGGCCTCACATGGAATACTGTTCCCATCCCTGGGCAGGGGCTCCCCAGTGCCAGCTCCTTCCACTTGACCGCATCCAACGCAGAGCGGCTCGAATTGTCGACGACCGAGCCCTTTCCGATCGGCTCGATTCATTGGCACTGCGAAGAGATGTTGCATCCCTTTGCATTTTCTTTCGCATCTACCATGGGGAGTGCTCTGAGGAATTGTTCGGATTAATCCCAGCCGCCAAATTTCACGAACGCACATCGCGGCAGAACTCCCGATACCATCCACACCATCTGGATGATTGGCGGTCCACCACTGTGCGATTTAGAAGATGTTTTCTTCCTCGCACGACCTCCTTGTGGAATCGATTACCATCAGCGATTTTTCCGGACCGATACGACTTAGGGACCTTCAAGAAAAGAGCGTACTCCTTTTTAAAAGGCCGGCAACGCATCTGCGATTCCCCTGGTGTTGCAGTTGTTCATGGGCGGCGGTAGTCACTTACCATCAGGTGAGCCGCATGCTCGTTTGCCCCCTCTCCTATAAAAAAAAAAAAAACGTTGTTAACGAGAGACTTGTGGACGATAAATCCAACACCTCCTTGGGACAAATGTTCGCCCTCCCGGTGATAGAACAAGTTGCCGGATTCGAGGATTAGCGTGTCCTCCCCCTCTCTGCGGACCTCGGATAATCCTATGATATTCCAGCGCAACTTGTCTACCTCTTCTTCCAGCTCCAGGATCTTCTCGTCACTCCTCAGGGTGCGTGCGTTATAAGTTGCCAGGTCGAGTCGTCGTAGGTGGCAACCGAACCTCCACCGGAGATTCTTAGCACCCCCTGCCCCGCCGTTACCATGGTCGCCACCGTAGCCAGGAATAGCGGTGCCGCCGGGAACTGGGATCCGTTTATTAATGTCATTGCTCATGGGGGGTGTATTCCCATAGTTGCCATGCTTGGCGAGCGGGTTGGCTACTGCAGTTTTTTATTGTTGTTTTGCTGTTATCAGAAAGATGCTGCTGCCCATCCTCTGCTTCAGAGGGAAACCCCTCTGTCGCCTCTTACGACACCCACGGCAAGATATGGGGTAGTGAGTATTCTTACCCGCCACTACACTTAAAGTGTATGTATATCAATATTCAATATATCAATAATATTTTACCTGAGAAAATATCGCGATACCGTTGTTGATAGCATCAGTAGCTTGTAATAAAGATGGAGTTCGCCACGTTTCCTCCGACGCCAGGATTTGAATGTCCATCTCATGTCCAGGGTGGCCAGTGTATTTTGATGGTCTAAAATAAAATTAGACAATTATTAAATACTATTTTACCCGTAAAATAAAGCGGCGTCAACATAAAAATAGTAATTATTAATAAATAGAATTAAAATACTACAAAATATGCAACCATATACAATCTATAAAAATATAAATATATTTTATAAAGCAAATATGAAAATCACTTATAGCTTTAGCATTTATTTCCATGAATCAAATTACTTTTTATAAAAAAGATATTGATGTTTATTATCTTACTTATTAGCTTATTAATCTTCACTTACTGGCAACTTTACCAATGGAAATTAACTTAGCCATCAGGGGTGTACTGGTACAAAATTACGATTAACACGGAAAACGTAACGTTTTTCCAGATATACAATTTTTTGGGTGAAAATACAATAACTAATTGACAGCATTGCTTTCGATATGCAAACATGAGAGTTAATTTTGGCATTTTTTTTAACGCGGAATTGTGCCAGCCTCTTTGTTCAGTGCTCCAGAACTTTAGTTAATTTTGTTTTAAATACTGAATGTAGGTATCTATGTATATGTAAGAAGTATAGTGGGTGTAGTGCAGAGACTGATTTTGTACTTAGGAATAATAATTAATTCATTTACACGAATGAATTATCCAACGAGTCGAGGATAAACTAGTAACGGAATACGACAAGCGCACCGTTCCACGTCAGAGCCAAGACTGTCCTAACGGCGGCAGCTCCGTCCTTTTTATATAAGCTAAACGGGCGCCACCGCAGGTGCAATGGTGCAGGTGTGCCGAGCACGTGTTATTTACTCTTGTAAATAACACGTGCTCCGTTGTTTTTTGCTTGTCGGTGTAGCTAGACAGAATTCTTATTCTGTCTAGCTAAACCGACGCCGTCGCACGTGCGACGGTGCACGTGCCGTCATATATCTTCGTAATAACGTAATATTAATGGTTATCAAATATATCATTTTTAACATGTTGGTCTTATCATTTATCTATAAAACTAACTTGGCAAAGTTACGTACCATACCAGTGATGCCACGAGTTGTCACTTTCAACCTATATTTTTAACCGATTACGACTATTTAAAGAAAGGATTTTGTACTTGACGTTTTATGTGTGTATGTGTGTATCCATGTTTTTGTTTTTACAGAATATGGATAACATAAGAGCACATAGTCCACCTGATGGTAAGTGGATGTTGTGGCCCATAGACATCTACATTTATCCTCGATTAAGAATTAAAATTCAGATGCGTTGTCACCCCTGAGGACTATTATAGAATGCCTCATTTCCGGTAAAAAAGGTCTCTGGTTCTCTACACTCACCATACGAAACACAGCAGTGTTAAGCTGCTATTTTACGCTGGTATTCTGTGAAAGCGTGGTCCTTCCCCGGTCGAGCCGACCCATTCGTGTTACAACTATACCAGAAATATAGCTGCAGCATGGCTCTACCACGTTTGCATGTTTCACCGTATCAGCCCACTAGAACGATTTTACCAAATGAGTCGTCACTCAATTCATCTTTATCAAAAGTGAAGGAAAAGAAAACAGAAATTTATATTATTTTTACTGCGTTCTTCATAATTTGAACTTCATCATTATCATTACAGCCCTTCACAAGTCCACTGCTGAACATAGGTCTCCCCCAAGGAATGCCACAAAGCACGGTCCTGAGCCACCTGCATCCATCGACTTCCTGCATGTCTTAGCAGGTCGTCACTCCATCTAGTAGGGAGTCGCCCTACACTTCGGCTTCCGGGACGAGGCTGTCACTTGGAAACCTTTCTTGCCCATCGGTTGTCGGTTCTTCGGACTATATGGCCTGCCCATTGCCACGTCAGCATACTAATTCTTGGGCCGAGCATAGCCCTCTCCATAGCTCGCTGAGCGACCTTGAGCGTCCTCATACGGTCAGCAGTGAAGGACCACGTCTCAGATCCATAAATCATCACTGGTAACACGCTCTGCTTGTACAATCTCGTATTCAGGTTTTGAGGTATACCTTACAAGATGTGTCGTAGTTTCCCGAACGCTGCCCAGCCGAGCTGAATCCGTCGATTGACCTCTCGGTCGAAGTTGGACTTACCTAGTCCGACTATTTGTCCCAGGTAAACATACCCGTAAATAACTTCGAACTTAGTGCTCCCAACAACTAGCGGCATATGTGTGACATGGACATTAAACATGATCTTTGTTTTGTCCATGTTCATCTTAAGGCCTATCCGTTGGGAGACACTATTGAGGTCATTGAGCAGTGCTTAGGTCCTCCAGCGAATATGCCGTAAGTACTATATCGTCGGCAAATCAAAGGTGAGTGATGTACTCACTATTGTATGTGCATTTTAATATCGTATCCTTTCCAGTCCAGTCGCTTGAAAACGTCTTCCAATGCAGCGGTGAAGAGTTTCGGAGATATAACTTCACCCTGTCTTACACCTATCTGCAGTTGGATAGGTTTCGCACTCTGATTCTGTACTCGGATAGCCATCGTAGCCCTACTGTATAAACACTTAAGCGATATTTTGATATACCGACAGCCCACTTGGCACCGCTGAAGGGACTGCAGTGCCGCCGAAATATCGACGGAATCAAAGGCTTTCTCATAGTCCACATACGCAAGGCAAAGTGGCAGATGGTAGGTACTCTTCTGTCTTCTGTACAATATGCCGAAGGTATGTATGTTGTCTCCATAGACAACATACATACCCTTATATACTAAAGCCTTTTCGGTAACCAGCTTGTTCGGGAGGCTGGAAGTCGTCGAGTCTGCGTACGAGACGATTCGTTATGACCCTCGAAAACAGCAATGTATTGATATTAATTTGCACCCAAAAAACAGTGTCATTTTTAATGATTATCAATGTTTTGCTATTGTGGGAAAACAATATTTAGATTGATTACAATATTTTTTGTTATCTGACATCATTTGATGATGATAACTACTAAAAACACGAATATTAAAAATTATTGTGACATTTTTTTATCTATTCTATAATTGATTTAAGCTTATTATTGCACCAATTTGATTTTAAATTTTAAACGAGAGTATTTTCTGCCGAGTTCCAAAAAGGAGACGGTACTCAATTCGACTATATGTTTTTTTCATGTCTGTTACCTCATAACTTTTTACCGGGTGAACTGATTTCGATGATTCTTTTTTTATTTGAAAGCTGGTACATATCGTGTGTTCCCATATGAATTTGATCAAAGTCAGACCAATAGTTTTTGAGATGTTCTTAATAACTTATATTGAAGTCGGCTGTACAAAATTTTAAATTTTAAATTATTGCTTGATATTTCAGATTTTTCCTTAAGAGATTATTACAAGATTAAATAAAAAAAATTTATTAAAGTACATAATCAAGGATTTGTGACGACCCTGAAACATATTTCAAGTTTGTATGAAAAATTGAAAAATAGGAGGGCAACATCGCCACAAGTGTAAACTTTGCTATTTGCAACACAATTAAAGGAGCAAATCATAACTCTGGGTGTTGTGTATTATATTATGAGGTAAAGTTACTTTCAACCTTGAAGTCAAATTCTATTATTAAGTGGCGAAGCTTGCGAAGTCACTTATTGATTTCACGATGTCTGTCCGTCTGTCAGTCTGTCCCACGATTATCTCGAGAACGGTTTTGAATTTTCAAATTCTGTTTTCAGCAATCGATTACTGATCACCCAGGCATCTGAACATCCTATTTTGAAACTGATTGCTCAACGGCAACCGTTAGAAACCGCTACAAAGCTGATTGCTTCGCCACTTTGCTATGCTGTTAGCTTGCTAGGTTTATTTTCCTTATAAGCCCTGCTGGTAAAGTTACCACAAAGCGAAGTTAACTTTGCCATCTTATATTTTTGAGTATTGTCTATTTAATGTTAGTATTTGTTTAAATTATTAATTATTACAAATAAATACCAAATCTGTGAAGAATATAATGTCACATTTAACATTGACGCCCAGTCTGACAGTACATTTTTTGTTTGAAAATTGGTCCAAAACTTTTAAGTCCTTCCACAAATGGCAAAGTTGCCAGGTTTCACGGTACTTAAAACAATAGCATTAATATATTCCATGCAGTCATTCTTTTTTAATGAATAATTAAAATATTATTATTATTTTTATAATATTTTGTGTGTAATGTAAATACAACTACATACTGAATATATTCAAAACATGTAAATAAAGTAAAATAAACATATTAAAAAAATAAATGTACTCAATGTGATTAAGATATGTGATTATATATATTATGAGAGCCTATCATAATACAGTGTCAATGATAATAGAAAAAAATATTTCAAATGAAGTTTGTGCAAATATTACAGAATGCAAATAATTTATAAATTAGATTTATTATGCATACCGGCTAAAATTGCCATCTTGACTAGTTCTGAAAATTATTTAAGAATTACATTTTAAGTACAAAATCACGTTAAATATAATAAAAAACTAATAACAATACGCTGTATAAACTCACTGTCTATCACTTTCAGTAGAGAATTGTTTCTTAGCTGGCGATGCCTGATAACAAAATATGTGATGTTTCATTTTTACTGACTTCCATTTGTCGTAACTGAACTGTACAATTTCATTTTCACGAACCTAAAATATACATTTTGTAAAATAAACAATAAAATAAAATAAACAATAAAAATATACAGTATGTATGAAGATCTGCAGGTGAAATGTTTAACTAGATTTTTACAAGTTGAGAAGTACTTGTTGTTTTTTTTTTAATTTGTCAAAACCATTTTCGAAATACCAAATACAAAATATAAATATCTGAGAATACATGACGGAATTAAAAGAAACAATTTTATATATTGAAGTATTCTTACCTCAGCAGTCTTATAATAAGGCAACACTGTATGTAATAAATCTGAGCATAGAGCAAGCAACCGGCCCCCATCGAGCAAATGCGCCAACAACAAGGGCGCACAGCGACCCACACAACCTGCGACAGCCACTAATGCTGCACGTCCTCGCCACGCCCCGGCCTCTAAAGAGTCACGGGACACGCTGTATAGAGTGTATCTATGGATATTAAAAAAACATGTGTGGGTGTAGTGGAACACTTGGTTGGAAAAAAGTTCATTTTGTAGTATATTATTATTGATAAACGTATTATATTATTGATTTACAAATACAAATAAATGTATTACTAGCCTCTATTAAAATACAAGCATCTGAAAATAATATTTCTTTCATGGCAAGATAAGAAAAAGTGCGAGGGAGATGGATACTATACCATCTCCCCTCATTATAGCCGCCAAGGCCGTCTACACTACGTCAGAAAGGGTCGTGACGTAAAAATCTTACACTTTTTCTCGCCTAGGCCCCATCCGCAAAATTTGTACCGTAATAAGGAACTTCGTTCCAAAAATATGTTTGAATAAAGCCAACTGTATCTCAAACTGCTACAGATCACAAACATCTAAATATTGCTCTCATACTCATTTTTTAAGATCCAGACTGTAGAACGTAACATTAATTCGTTATAGCTAACTATTGCCGATTGTCATAAAAGTCGATAAAAGGAAATACCGGGAAGATCTCTTGGTTCCAACGAATAGTGACAACACCAGATGTAAAATACCTAGATGATGGGCAGTAACATTAAAGGTGCAATTTATATGGTACAATTATGCAATTGAAGCAGTTTGCCAAGAGACTTTTTCTTTTTTTACTTTCACTTTTTCTCTATAATATGTCAACCTCATCTGCATGTGGTGCACCCTGCTACTTGACAGACAAGGTTCTGAAGACCAACTCTCACGATGATGGCAAGAAGTATTCAGTGCAAGGGTCAGCCCACATTCTCAGCATGGTAAGTATGGTTAACTTTTTCAATAATGATGTAAATATGGCTGTTAATGAAGAAAAAAAAATGACTTGTAACTTACCTGTCACAATCCAACACTTTCCTAAGGGAAGCTTCTAAATTATCCCTAGCTACTATACTATCAGAGTATATTAAAATATTTGGTGATTTTGTATTTACTAATGGACGGGAACTCTTTAATGACTTTGATGTACTCTGTGGTGATGAACATTTATTTTTATTCTCTTCCTTTATTTCCGGTATTTTATCAATTTGTGGTTGAGTTTTCTTTGGTCCTGATGTACTTATTATTCTTTTATGGGTTGTTACGGATTTTATTTGACTAGATATATTTAACAATGATGTAGAAAGTTGACTAGTGCCTTTTCTTAAGTCTAATTTCAAGCTAGATTTCTTTGGTGTGATATTATGTTGAATTTCAACAGTGACATTTTCAACAACTAATTCTTTTCCTTTTTCTTCCGACTTCTCTTTACTTTTCTTTTCTGGTGATTTTTCTTGAACTTTTACATTTTCATCGACTTTTATGGTTTCTACAGGTTCATCAAATTCTTCATCTGGTGATAGTGATTTAGTTGTTATGGTGCTTACATCAGCCAGTGTCACAGTCCTTTTCACTGGTGTTGTATCCATAACCTGATCAGTACCACCATTCATTTCAACAGTTGTATTTCTAATATCTGATTTGATATCAACAACTTTAGATAATTTCCTAAGCAAAGCTGCATGAACTGACCACTGGAATAATTCGGGAAGTTGTTTTAATCCTTGTTGGATGTCACTGCGTAAACCTCTCATTGACACATCAGCTGCTTTGTTAGGTTCTCCTGAGATTTGTACAGCTAAAAATAAATAACTCTATTTTAGGACTATCTGCATTTATTAACTAGAACACAAACAGTCTTATTAGATTTGATTTTTCTTTAACTATATTGACTTACTTTGTATCCTAACAACTGGAAGTTTATGGTCTATAATAAATTCTCCACCAATAAAGTGAAAACCAACCACACTGAGGTGCTCAATATTAGTCTTTAAGACTATTGCTAAATGTGAACCTGCCTTCCACGCCACTGGTTGACCCATGGACTCCAACTAAACATATCAATTAATTTGGAATGAATAGTATAAGAATGGAATTTCATAGATGAAAATTTCGCAAATGAAAGTGAAAATACAACAATAAAGCGAAATTTACTTGTTATTAGTGCTAACCCCATATATTATGTCACTGATATTGCATGCTGTTTGAGAGACATTGTTTTCATATAATAACATATTAAAAAATAACAAATTAAACTTTTCCTCAAGTGTTCAGTGTTAGAGAAATAAAAAACACAAAGAAACTAGGTAAAATCCTAATGGCTATATAAATATACTTGAATCCATATCATTTTATATATTTTCTGCAATATAATCAAATAGTAAAATAGGTAAAAACTTTAAAATTATATTTGTATTACATCCACTATTCATTAAATTCTCTAAACCAAATTGAATGCAATAAATTAAATCTTATCTTGTGTATATTTATGAAATGAACTTGTATAAAAAGTTGGACTGGAAATGTTAACTTTTTATTTATTTTGTCTTAAATTTATATTTGTCTTGATATATATTTTAATGGACTGTGAGAATAAGGACCAATCACTGCCAAAAAAGCTATTAAAAAAGCAGTAATTGAATTAATACTAAAATACAAATATAGAAATTGAATTTTATAATAAAATAAAAAATTGGTCATCAATGAGCTCATTAATCTAAACATATATACATAAAATTATATAAAATGTGTATTTATTTCTTACAGATATTATATCATGATGTGAACTTCCTTCATGTGGCTCCATTTCACATTCAAAGAGCACTTCAACATCAAGATCCGTTACTGGTGAAATGTCACTTGAACCTAAAGGCAGACCTCCTGCACATGTCACCCAATCATTAATCTCTATACATTGTGTTGGTTTCATACTACAAATTCTTGAAGCATTGGTATAATCCAGTAAATCACAAAGGTAAGCATTTTTTGGATTTGTGCAAAGTTTTGAACTAAGTGTAGGTGTTTCTGAAAATAAAAAAAAGAATAGTATAATTTTTATTTAATTTAGGTAGATTATCACGTGATACTTATTAAGTCAATTTTTTTATACCACTGGTTCAGCAAAATACCTGTCTTGGGAAGAACCAGCAAACCCAGTGGGATTTTTTTTCAGACAATTATGTATATGAATTATAAAGGACCAGCCTGGCAGCAACCTCATTCCTAGGGGTTATTTTCATCTATTTCTTAATATTATAACCCTTTTTGCACAGTTTTTCAAATTTTTTTGTAAAACCAAATATATTGCCACATAAACTTACATTATAAAATTGTGTTTTTTCTGGTAGGTATTTAAGCTATTAACATCTTTGTTCTTTACAAAGTTATTCAAATTTTATGTACATACATTACAACACTAAAGTTAATATGTTTAAATTTTCTTCTAAGGGACTCTTTACAATTTAAGTTATAAATTGCCTGTACAGCCTTCTTTTACAAAACAAATACGGTTTCAATGTCAGTCGCATTTCCCCATAGCAAAATTTTTTAAGAATACAACATGAAAGTAACTAAACTAATTTAGCTGGCTGTTTCAACATTATTGAGAGTCCGAATGTTTCTTACAGCATATACTGCAGAACTAAGTCTGCTTGCGGTACGACTTTCCATTGACGTCAGTGGAGTTTGGTGTTGATACGTATTTTTACAGAAAGATTACACTATTATAAGCACACACACAGTCTCAATATACGGAAACGCGTAATTTTTGAGAAAAGAATAATTGAAAATCAATTAGTCTTGCAATGTTTATGTCTAATCTGCTAATAAACTGGCGCCATTTTGTAATGTCATTGTCGACGTCAATAGGGATGTAGATTCTTTCCGACAAAGATCGATTTTTTAAATAGATTCGAATTGTAAGCGATGTCGAAATGTAATATCGATATTTTTTTCATGTTTGCATTTATAATGTAAATATAAATCCATTTTATGAGAAAAAAATTCCCTTCATCTTAAAAAAATAAGGGGACTGATTCATAAGGATTTCTGTATCTATTTTGAGACTGCTACGTCTCCGGCGCTGCGGGAAGAGCAACCTCTACGCCTTAGCGTAACAAATCGCAGGCATCCCTCCTCGCAGTTACAGCAGGCGGAGGCTGCCTCCCCCTACGCGCCTCCGGCTCTATAAAACCACTCTAGGGGTAGGACAGACTCGTACCAGGTGGAGTCGGGGTCAATCAATTCAGTTCTTTGACATAAGTTGAACCTAACCTATTTTATTTGTTATCTGCCCTAATAGTTACTGTTAAATAAAACAAATTTCAATAAGAGATCATTTATCATGGTATCTTTCTTGTTTTTCATAAAATGGGTTTATATTTACATTATAAATAGAAACATTAAAAAAATATAGATATTTTAGAAATCGATTTTTTGTGAACCGATACATCAGCTTACAATTTTAATCGATTTAAAAATCGACCTTTTTCGGAAAGAATCGACATCCCTATTGACGTCGACAATGACATTACAAAATGGCGCCAGTTTATTAGCAGATTAGACATAAACATTGCAAGAATAATTGATTTTCAATTATTCTTTTCTCAAAAATTACGCGTTTCCGTATATTGAGACTTTGTGTGTGTGCTTATAATAGTGTAATCTTTCTGTAAAAATACGTATCAACACCAAACTCCACTGACGTCAATGGAAAGCTAAGCCCTGCTTGCTAATTTAAATAAATGGAGGCCCTATAGGAGCTTCGCCTAAATAGAGACACGGAATAAACATTCTCAGAAACAACAACAAAACATAAACAAAGATGATTCATTGACATGATGGTTCAACTATAAAATAAAAGTATTTGTATGTATATAAAAGTAATTATCATATACAGCAAATACTAATATGTAAGAAAGATTTTCATTAGGTACTTCTCATCCAATGCCTTTAAGCACAAGAAAATAACTAACTTAAGACACATAAAAGATAACAAATTCGTACCTGCTGCATTTTCAGGGACTTTGCAAAAAGCCACACTCGTATTGCCACTAAGGAACTCCAGGAGACGAGCACGAAATGAACGAATACGCCAAGTTTTTATAAAAGTCATTGCAATGTAAATCGGCGTCAACAACATGGTAATGCAAAATTGAGTAACACTCCACACTCAGATCAAATCAAAGTTTCATATCATTAACATTTCTATTTTTACTAATTCATTACAAGTTCAAAAGCTATAAATGTGCAATATCGATTATGGCATTCATCGAATTTCATGTAGTTAATATATAAAAAAGGAAAACAGTTGAAATACAACACCATACGTATGATTATTATGTCAATAATAGCGACCCTAACATGAAGCATTAGATTATTATTTGCGAAAATATACAGAAATAAATTAAATTCCAAAAATTCAATCATTCACTTTGCATTTCAAATATGAGCGAATAAAATGACATTGACATGTTGTTGTTTTTATTATTCGCTCGAGAGCCGGCAAAGGAAATAAGCTATACAGCCGTGTCTTTTTTATTTTGAATATATAGAATTTTGAAGTGTAAAGGCCGGAACCAAGTCTTATTTTTCTTTTTTCCATCTCTTTTTTTTTCATTCATTACAGCCCTTCGCAAGTCCACTGCTGAACATAGGCCTCCCCCAAAGAATGCCACAAAGCACGGTCCTGAGCCACCTGCATCCATCGACTTCCTGCATGTCTTACCAGGTCGTCATTCCATCTCGTGGGGGGACGCCGCACACTTCGCCTACCGGTACGAGGCTGCCACTCGAGAACCTTTCTTCCCCATCGGTTGTCGGTTCTTCGAGCTATATGGCCGGCCCACTGCCACTTCAGCTTACTAATCCGTTGGGCTATGTCGGTTACTCTGGTTCTACTGCGGATATCCTCATTCCTAAGTTTATCACGCAGAGAAACTCCGAGCATAGCCCTCTCTATAGCTCGCTGAGCGACCTTGAGCTTCCTCATACGGCCAGCAGTGAAGGACCACGTCTCAGATCCGTAAGTCATCACTGGCAACACGCACTGGTTGTACAATTTCGTTTTAAGGTTTTGAGGTATGTCTGACGAGAAGATGTGTCGTAGCTTCCCGAACGCTGCCCAGCCGAGTTGAATCCGTCGATTGACCTCTCGGTCGAAGTTGGACTTACCTAGTCGGACTATTTGTCCCAGGTAAACATACTCGTCAACAACTTCGAGCTTAGTGCTCCCAACAACTACCGGCATAGGTGTGACATGGACATTAAACATGATCTTTGTTTTGTCCATGTTCATCTTAAGACCTATCCGTTGGGAAACACTATTGAGGTCATTGAGCATAGTGCTTAGGTCCTCCAGCGAATCTGCCATAAGAACTATATCGTCGGCAAATCGAAGGTGAGTGATGTACTCGCCATTGATGTTGATACCGTATCCTTTCCAGTCCAGAAGCTTGAAAACGTCTTCCAATGCAGCGGTGAAGAGTTTCGGGGATATGACGTCACCCTGTCTTACACCTCTCTGCAATTGGATAGGTTTCGTACTCTGGTTCTGTACTCGGATAGCCATCGTAGCCCTACTGTACAAGCACTTCAACACTTCGATATACCGACAGTCAACTTGGCACCGCTGAAGGGACTACAGCACCGCCCAAATTTCGACGGAATCAAAGGCTTTCTCATAGTCCACATACGCCAGACATAGTGGCAAATTGTACTCTTCGGACTTCTGTACAATTTGCCGAAGGGTATGTATGTGGTCTATGGTGCTAAAGCCCTTTCGGAAACCGGCTTGTTCGGGAGGCTGGTAGTCGTCAAGTCTGCGCGCGAGACGATTCGTAATGACTCTCGAAAACAGCACGTAGACGCGGCTCAGAAGGGAAATCGGTCTGTAGTTCTTCAAGAGAGCGTTGTCACCTTTCTTGAAGAACAAGACCACCGCACTTCTGCTCCACGCCTCCGGTGTAATGCCACCATGGAGGACGGAATTAAAGAGCTTCTGAAGGACTTCAAGTACCGGTCTTCCACCCGCTTTCAGAAGCTCCGCTGTAATTCCATCCTCGCCTGGGGCCTTACCGTTTTTAAGGTGCTGGAGAGCCATTCTAATCTCGCTCAGACTGACGTCCGGGATATCTTCGGAATAGTGTCGGATGAGACTCGCTCTTGGATCGTTACTCACACTTGCGTGTGGCTCCAACGATGATGTGTACAGCTGCCCATAGAACCTCTCAATCTCACTCAAAATCTCAGGTGTCCCGGAAACGATGCTGCCACATTCTGTCTTCAGCTTTGACAGTTGGCTCTTTCTGGCAGACAGATCTCTGGCAAAAACTTTGGAGCCTTGGTTCCGCTCGATCGCTTCTTCAATACGAGCTGTATTGAAGTTGCGTAAGTCCCGCCGCATGCATTTGGAGATCTGTCTGTTCAGATGCCTGTATGCTGTCAAGTCTGTTGAAGAATGTAGCTTCATCTCCCGTCTAACAGCCATGAGATTAAGAGTGTGATCGGAGAGTTTTTGTGTTCTTCTGCGGCGGGTCTTGCAGAACTTAGCTCCGACTGCATGGACAGTTTCCACGAGCTTGTCATTCAAATCGTTCACTTCATTGCAGTCTTCCAGGCACTGAAAACGGTTTTGTAACTCGAGCTGAAAGGTTTCGGGACTTTGGAACAGAGCACGTGGGGTACGGAGCGTTGACTTCATTAGACGAGACCTCTCCAACTTAACGTTTAGGTTCAGTGTGCATCTAACCATTCGGTGATCGCTACCAGTTTTCACTCTCGCAATCACGGAGACATCACTGAACAGTTGTCGTCTGGTCGTCATAATGAAGTCAATCTCATTTTTTGTCGAACCGTCGGGGCTCGACCAGGTCCACTTCCTGTGGGGCCGCTTCTGGAAGAAAGAGTTCATCATAAAGAGTCCATCTTTCTCCATGAAGTCGGCCAGCTGCTGGCCCCTTGGGTTCCGTTGCCCTATTCCAAATTTCCCTACTTTCAGCTCGCCGTTCTCTCTTGTGCCTAGTTTTGCATTGAAGTCTCCCATTAACACCGTATATTGGGTTTTGGAGGAATGCATGGCTCTAGAGATATCCTCATACATTTCCTCTACCTCCTCATCGGGCTGTGCCGAGATTGGTGCGTAAACCTGTATGACCTTCAGCGAATACCGTTTGGTGATTCTGAGTATAAGGTACGCAACCCTCGTCGACACACTCCCGATCTTTACAACATTGTTAACGAGAGACTTGTGGACGATAAATCCGACACCTCCTTGGGACAGATGGTCGCCCTCCCGGTGATAGAGCAAGTTGCCGGATTCGAGGATTACCGTGTCCTCCCCCTCTCTTCGGACTTCGGATAATCCTATAATATGCCAGCGCAACTTGTCTATCTCTTCTTCCAGCTCCACGATCTTCTCGTCAGTCCTCAGGGTGCGTGCGTTGTACGTTGCCAGGTCGAGTCGTTTAAGGTGGCAACCGAACCTCCACCGGAGATTCTTAGCACCCCCTGCCCCGCCGTTACCATGGTCGCCACCGTAGCCAGGAATAGCGGGGCCGCCGGGGACTGGGGGCCGTCTGTTTGTTGCTTTATTCATTGGGGGGTATTTGCCATAGTTGCCACGCTTGGCGAGCGGGTTGGCAACCGCAGTTTTTTTATTGTAATTTTGGCTATTATCAGGAAGATGCTGCTGCCCATCTCCTGCCTGTTTCCCTTTGTCGCCTTTTACGACACCCACGGGAGGATATGGGGTAGTGGATATTCTTGACCGCCACTACACGGCTTCCATCTCTTCCAAATCCATAAAGGTCGAAGCCGACACTGACAAGATTGGTTATTGTTATGATTCTCCAATTAAGGCAAACAAAGGTTTAAGGCCTAGTCTGTCCCAGTCGCCTCAGATGACCCGAGAGGCTGACTGGAATTAACCCATTCGCAGAGACGACTACAGGTGTAATTTCGGCCGACAATCCACCCCACATGTCGGTCACCTCGTGAGCCAGGTCCAGATATTTAGTCAGCTTATCTGTTTCGGCTTTCACGAGGTTCTCGTCATAAGGAATGGTAATGTCGACCAAAAATATCCTTGACTGTGCCCGGTCCATCAGCACAATATCAGGCTTATTCGCAAGAATAGTCCTGTCTGTGATGATGGCCCGGTCCCAGTAGAGCCTGGCGCGGTCATTTTCGAGCACGGCTTCCGGCAAGTACTTATAATACGGCAGTTTCCGATCCACGAGACCGTTTTTCAGAGCGAGCTCCTGGTGTAGAATCCTGGCTACTAAGTTGTGCCTGTGCAAATACTCAGAGTTAGAAAGCGCCGAACAACCGGAGATGACATGCCTAAGTGACTCACCGGGATGGCGACAAGCTCAACAGACGTCAACGGTACCATCCTTTAGGATGTATCTCCGATAATTTTTGGTCTTAATAACTTTATTATTATTATTATTATACATTTGCCAGTGTCAAGTAATAAGAAATTATCTTTTATATTAATTTGTATAAACTTCTTCACAATAATATGTAATGCGTCAAATTCCGAAGTTTTAGAGAGATTTTAACATCAGCTAAGTCGAGGCGCCTAAGTAGTACTTGTGTTTTATCGTTTCCACTAATAATTTACATGCCCTGAAATTTAATACACAATCGCACAGTTTTTAGCCAACTTCAAATAAAAAGGAAGCGTAAAACAGGCACGGTATGTTGCACCGAAAGGCGGGCTTTGCAGTTTGATGTTGCTCTTCCTTATCTTCACGATTGAGAAGAACAGCGGACGTGACATGCGCGGTGAAGTGCCAAGTGCACCCGGCTTTTGCCGGCGCCGGACTGAAGAACCTGTATCGACACAGTCACCATTCGAAACTTGGAATCGCGTGGCGCGTTGGCGTGTTGGCGTGTCGTGGTCACACAGCTAGATTGCTGATTACCAGAAGATCGCAAACCACCGATCTGGCACCGTGCGCCCACCCACTACGGGTACCCTAGGCGCTTGTTTTCCCAGCTGGGAAAGTCCCAGCGATAATGCAAAGTTCTATGCCACTGGCACGATCGATCTTCTGTTATGTTTCCATACTGGCCAGTACAATAGGATGCCGATTAAGGGCCACGCCAGAGGCCTCATTGTCATTGAGGTGTTCAAAT